GGGACCAGGCTATGAAAGAAAATACTCTGGGAATACTGTCCAAGGAGGAAGAACAAGACAACAGCCCTTTCTGCAGGAAATTGATTGATAGGTCTTGACCTGGGGGGGTCTTACACCTTATCTGGATAAGCACTAGGGCGTGACGTATAATTTCTCCAGAATAATACATGTTCCATGCCAAGAAGGTGGGTGTATAGTAGAAACAAAAGCAGAACCCTCTTGGGTATGAGGAGTACAATAGCATGCTTCCCTTAAGCTACTGGATTTGAGAATTCTATATGTACTGGAGATACTCAGCTAGCACGTTATTGCTTCAGTCAAGTCAGGAGGGAATGTTTCAAGTTAAGGGATTTGGCATGTCTGGGTGGTGAGTTACACAGTACTAATTACCCCAGGAGGACTGAAGACACAGAATCTGCCACAAGCCCTGGCTCAGCCTGCTCTCCCACGAGGACCGGGCAGCAGTGGGGTGCCAACCCTGTGAACCCCCACTTCTATCCCACTGAGCTACAAGAGCTCTCCCCCTAGTCTGAAATTAAAGACACCAGAGTCACTGCACCTAAGTGCCCTTCAGGCATCTCCCCAACTCTCAGTGGGGAGGAGAGCAGAGTGATGAAGCCAGTTCAGAGATGGGGATTAGGAGACCATGACTGGTAAAGACCAGGGGGAAATCTGGCCAGGACACTAGGGTAACACCCCAGGATTTTTAATGACTAGGGAGTCGGGACCTCAATTGAATAGCTCATTTGAAGGGCAGCTCAGATCTGGTCCCGTAACTTGTCAAGTACTGGGAGATCAAGGTCATACCAGCAAGGTATGCTGAAATGCATATTAAAAGGCTTTTATTTTGAAAACTCATTTTTCAAGTTCACATTTCCCAGGAAGTATCTAAAAACTCACAACATTCAGTCACAAAAATAATAAAACATTAAAAGTGCTATGTAAAGAGATTTAAAAGACTGACACACAGGCCACACAGTGGCAGTTTAGTGAGCTACAGCTCCAGCGCTGCAAAGATGCCCAGGTTCGAGTGCAGGGGGGGGGGGAAACCAGCCAGCCCGGGCTAGGAACGGTTCTTGCTGACCCAGTGGTACCGGTCCACACGCGGCCCGGAGAACCCCGACGAGGGCCTGTAGCTCTTGTGGGCTTTGTGAGGAGGGTAGTAGCCATCTCCCTGGTAGGCCTTCCTCTTGGGATAAGGGGCCCAGGGCTGAGCAGGAGGTGGACCAAAGTCTCCAGCCTGCAACACAGCAGAGCAGACCAATAAGGCAAGGAACACAAGAATCAGGAGACGCCCCCACCACATGGTGGGCCAGGCCTCACCGCAGCCCTGCAGCGGGGGCAACAGCGCAAGCAGTCGAGGGCTGGACACAGCCACACAGCCAGCTTGTCCCAGAGGATACCGGCCACCAGACGCCCTGCGCCCACCCACAGTCCAAACCTCATCCCCGGGCTTCTCACCTGGTAGATGCTGTTGGGGTTGCTGACCGTGGGGATGGTTTTGGGCTGAGAGACACCGGTGCTGCTGGTCCCCTCCTCGTCAGAGGAGGTGCCGGAGTAGTAGTCGGAGGTGGCCCTCTCCACGGCACTGTTGATCCGCTGGGAGAGCTGCTGGTTCTCGCCTTGGCCTTTCAGCACGGCCACGCTGATGGGCTCGTTCTTCTCCCCATACCTGGAAGATCAGGGAGCCAGTGACACCCCAGGGCTGCACACCAAGGCCCCCCCAGGATCACACATCTGATCAATCTACACTGTAGAATGGCCAGCAGCCACATCAACCCTGCAGCTCCCAGCTGGCCACCCCCTGGAGCTCAGCAGTGAGAGCCTGGCCAGTACCTGGATGGGAGACTCCTGGGAGAGCTGAGGCTGCTGCTGGAAGAGGTGTTAGTGGGGCCAGTAGGGGGCGCTCACCCTGCGGTCCATGTGGGTCCTAATGCCCCAATATAGTGACGGGGACACTACACTGTAGAAAGGTCTCATCCAAAGGATGCTGCATAAAACAGAGTCCTGTCCCTGTGGCCAGGAAAAACCCCAGGGTGTTTCTCGAGAAGAGTAGGGGTGTAATACCAAATTCCCCCCTGGCCTTTACCCATCATGGCCTCCTAATAACCCCCGTCTCTGAACTGGCCTCATCACTCTGCTCTCCTCCGCACTGAGAGCTGGTGTGTGGGGAGAGGACTGGAGCATCATCCAGGTGGGGGTGGAGGGGATCCCCATGACCTGTAAAGAGCTTTGCGTGGGGTGTCCAGAAGAGCACTACACAAGAGACTTGAGCCTCCCGCCCTTCCCTGGAGACACTCACCTGCAGCTCACCTCACCAGGGTCCACCCAGACGGTCATCTCCCGGGGCAGCCCCAGCTCCTCGTAGTCCACATCGCTCTGCTGACAGGCCCGCTCCAGCAGGGG